TCACGCCGCCCCCTCCCGGCTCGCCTACTCACCCCCTGCCACTGCTCGCCTCCTCAGCCGCCATCCCCCCCGCCACCGGCTCACCTGCCCCCCACCACTGCCCGCCTGCTCACCTCCTCAGCCCCTCCCGGCTCGCCTACTCACCCCATGCCTCTGCCTGCCTGCCTAACCCTCCTCAGCCCCCCCCCCGCCGCCAGCTCACCTGCCCCCCCCCACCTGCCCGCCCACCTCCTCAGCCCCTCTCCCTCACCCACTGCTTGCCTACTCACCCCCTGCGGGCTGCACAGTGAGCCCACGTGGGCCGCATGTTGTGCAGGTCTGCTCTAGGACACTGAGGTGGGAGGGTCCAAATGCTCAGGCTGTATCCCCTTGCCAAATATCTACACCGCAATTAAATGACCTCTTAGCCTGAGCCAGAGCTAGCTGGCACGGGTCAGCTGCAGGTGTCTAATTGTAGTATAGACCTACCCTAAGGCTATGTGTATGCTGCCCCTCAGTTCAGACTGTGTGGGTATGAATAGCAGTGTGCACTAACGTGCTGCACTGTAACTCTGCAGGTGCGAATTAAATGGTTCCTAGCCAGGACTTCTGTGTTCTAATTCCACTTCTGCCATTAACTTTTTGGGTGTCCTTGGTCAAGTGGCTTTCTTTGCCTTAGTTTCCCCACCTGCAAAATGGAGATAATGACACTGACCCACCTCACAGAGGAAATTAGGCTGATGATGATTATACGTTAATGTGAACTAGGAACCTTTTAGATTGTGTCCGCAGCACTCACATGAGGGAGTTACAGTGAAGTGCTTTGTGCACTGTTCACACCCTTATGGTCCAAACTGCAGAGCAGTGTAGACAAGCCCTTCAACTAAATGAAGGATAATGTGATGCAGACTCTGTGTGAGGGACTCATTAGAGCAGGGGTTTAAGCACACTTTAAAGTTTCTCCCTTACTGCTTTCTTTCATCCTTCCTGCTGACCTCCAAATGTCGAGAAATGTATAGCGCTGTAAACTGATTCCCATTCTAATGGTTCCAGTAGGCAAATGAGAAGAGTTAGGGTTGCATGTAGCATGGGAAGAATGGCCCTACTTGTACTTTTCCTGATTTTCTAATACTTTATTTTGTGTGGTTGAGTATTTTCCTTGTCTTCAGAATTTTCTGTTTTTGGCTGCAAACTTCAGTGTTCTTGAAGCTTATGAGGCACTGATAATAGACCATCTCTTTCCTTTACCAGAGGTGGTGGTGGTTTGTTGTTGTTGTTGTTGTTGTTGCAGTTGCAGAATCTCACATGTAAACAGGCTGTAGAATGAAAGTTCAGACTTCTAGTGTAACTTTTGGAACTACACCTCTACCCCTATTTAATACTGTCCTCGGGAACCAAAAAAATCTTACCGCATTGTAGGTGAAACTGCTTTACATCGAACTTGCTTTGATCCCCCCCCGGAGCGCCACTTTACCGCGTTATATCCGAATTCGTGTTATATCGGGTCGCGTTCTATCGGGGTAGAGGTGTATTTGCCAATTTTCAGGGGGAACAAATATCTATAATCATTCCACATCAAACATTTTAAAGTGTTTAATTATTGGTATTTGACTTAAAACTGATCTATAAAGACTTTGTTTTTAAAAACGATGTTAACAACTGAATTAGTGGCAGAATTTATGTGGAGAAATAGAAAAAATAACACAAAACATATATTTTAAAACCTAAGAAGGAACTATTTTAGAACTATTATCTGACAAATCCTGAGTTCGCTGTTTTTTGTATTTCCTTGCAACAGTTGACTCTGTCCTTAATGGTGCTGAAAAATGTAGGGAAGAAGAAATAACCCTACAGGAAAAGTACTTTTGGGGTGGACCTGAAGCTTTTCCTCTCCATTTTCTACCAACTGCCAAATGTTATCAAAGCACTCTTCCCTCTGGATTGGAGGGCAGAATTTCTTCTTTCTTTACGAGGCTACCATTACAGTTGCTTCTATAATAATCTGACAGTCAATAATGGCAAAATAATATGTAACTTTTCTTAACAGGAGCTAGAACCATGTACCATCAGTTATTCATGAGCAGTCTACTTATGGATTTGAAATACAAGAAACTTTTTGCTATCCGGTTCGCAAGAGTAAGTAACTTTCTTATGATGAATGGAAAATGCTTCAAAATATAGCCTAGAAAACAGTTTCAAGTAGAACATACAAAACTAATGATACTCTGTTAGGAATATTGGTTGGGATTGTTTGTTTGCCTTTTTGAAACTCTTTAAATGAGAACTTCTATTGATTTCCTTCTGTGTTCAAAAACTTAGTTATCATAGTACCTTACCACCCATCAAGAAAATAGGTCTTTTGGGTTCCCGATCTAATGCTGTTGTTAGATCATCTCTAACACAGAATGCATCATCTCTGATGTTGTATCCTTCCAAACCAACCATCTAGGGGCCCATTACTTGAGAAACAATCAATAACCATTGTTGGTAGTGCTACCCATAAGTGACCTCTGAAAGTCAACTACACTTAATATTATTTCTTGCAATAACTAATTTTTGAGATGCTTTTAATCAGCTTTCAGAGATTCTGCTCACTCTTGCCTCAAACAAATAACTTATTTTTAATTAGTAAGTAAAATAGTATTAGTCTTCATAGTGATAATTAGAATGGGTGAGTAGATTTTATGCATGTGTAACGCTGACAGACTGTTAGCAAAGGCGATAGAGCAGACTCATAATCTCTCTTTCTCTCTGTGGTCTCAGTGCCACTAGATGGGACAGAACACCACACCCAGAAGGTGTGTGGGTTACATACTTCCCCAGCTGAGGAAGCACGTCCAGAGCTTCAGAGACTTCCCAGTTGAAATCCTGGATGAGTCCACTTGTAACGCTGACAGACCCTGGTTATTGGCGGTCAAGATCGAACCTGGGACCTCTGGAGCTTAGTGCATGAGCCAAAAGCCAACTGGCTGTTAGCTAAGGCTGTAGAGCAGACTCATAATCTGTCTCTCTCTAAGTGGTCTCAGTGCCACTAGATGGGACAGAACACCACACCCAGAAGGTGTGTGGGTTACGCATGGGCTGGTAAATTGTCATCCCACTCTGCAAGGTTTCCTCTTAATGATGGCTCAATACCACTGTGTATCATAGTGTTGAATACCCCCAGTGCAGACATTGAATTTAAAGCAAACATCAGGTCAGTGTGGATTAGAGGTGAATTTCCCCCTTGTTGTTTAGAATTACCGGCAGTTGCAGAGAGATTTTATGGAGGATGATCACGAGCGGGCAGTGTCGGTGACTGCTCTATCTGTCCAACTCTTCACTGTACCTACTCTGGTGAGTAGTGCTTGCCTTTTTTAAAAACTGATAGTTGGCACTCCTTGCCTTTTTTTGCCTCCTTCTTAATAGAACTATGAGCGATTGCAGAGTGATTATGTGAAAGATGACCACGACAGAGAGTTCTCAATTGCTGACCTCTCAGTACAGATATTCACAGTGCCTTCACTTGTAAGTACTAAAGACTAAAAAAAGAAACTCCTTTTTTTTGTTAGGAGCTGCACTAAGATCTTGAGTTTATAGACCGCTAGATTTCTCCGAACGTTTGTAGTACTACTGTGCAAATCAGTGTGCTGCTGGCTTTATGAAAACTAATTAGTAGTTTGTAAATATAGGTACAATTTACTAAGTGGAATTGGACCTATGCTGCTAAATTTTGAATCTGTATCAGAACTTCCCAGAGTACATGGGTATATGGACCTATTCTTTTGTTTTGGACACGTCTCTTAATTTTTTTCCATTAATGAATATATATATATAGAGAGGTTACCACTTAATAATACAGTAGTTTTAACTTCTGACTATGCCAAATGTCCATGGTAGGTGTTGTAGGGTGTGTTCACAGAGCACACTGCTCCATGGTGTGGCACTGCAGCTCCCATACCTCAGTTCTCTTTTTGATTCTCCATTCCACCCATAAGCAGCCAGGAATGTTCACATAAGGTTCCCTGTCTTGGGGTCTGATTTATTAAATCCTCACAGAATAAATCTGCAGTTCCTTTGGCCCTTCTAGGTTCAAATTCTTCTTTCCTTGGGGCTTCTAATTTATCCTTCCTTCAGGCTAGCTTTCTCTCAGCTCCCCAGTTCTCTCTATGCCTGAGGACATCAGCCAATCTCACTCTATCCTTTGGGCTTTTCTGGCTTCCCCAGCCCACCACCATCCTGGTTCTACCACAGGAGAACCTCCTTGCAGATCTCTCCTGACTCTTGGTTCCCCTTGACTGTGAACTGAGAACACTCCTTTTTAACTTAAATGGACAGACCAACCTGTTACAACAAGCTTTCTATTAAAAATCAACTACTGCCTTTTGCAGAATCTTGAAAACTTTTTTCTAACAGAAACATGTCTGTCTGTATATCATAAATTATTTTTTAAAGTGAAGAATACTTAAAAAGAGTAGATGAACTCAACAGAGATTCTGTCTTCATGAAGATGTCTTTGGAAATTAAATAAAATGAGGAAAGAAAATCTGACTTGCATAGAATGTTTCTAAAAAGAATGCTGTTGGAAGTTTTCCAAGTGGAATCAACTTAAAGGTAGATCTAAATTTCTGAGACTGTATGGAAATCATGGCAGTCAGGTAGGTGTCTTAAGAACTGATTTCAGGATAACTGTTCTAAATTGTGATTTGTTTTTAACAGTTTTCTAGGTGCTGGAGGTGTCAGCTGGTAATTCTTGCCTCTTGATTCAGGAAGTCAGGGTTCTCTTCCTAGCTCTGTCACTGACTTGCCCTGTACGCTAGGGCATACCACTTAAACTCAGTTTGCTCTTCTGTAAAATGGTATCACCACCATTTGCACTGGTATTGTGGGGCTTATCTAGGTAATGTTAGTAAAATACTTTGAATAATTTAAATAAAAAAATATGTTTTAAAGCATGTTCCCAAAATAAAATATTTTTTTAAGAAGTGTTGTGTTATCAGAAAGAAAGAAGCCTAAAAGGAAGTGTGAAAGAGGTGAGAGTTGTAGCCATAAGGATTGAGACAAAGAAAAAAATTTTTTTTAAAGTATGAGGATAATATTTTAAAAAAGATCAATTACATTAGAGTCAAAAGCCTCAGTCTCATTTCCAGGTTCTTTGCTAGCACATGTCCCCATCTAAAGCCATTATGTATTGGCTTAACTTAATTAACCCTATTAATCCTATTAAAAATTGCTCTTGTACAATACTGTCATTTGGTTGTATATGCAATATAATCATGTACTTTGTATGGCCTTGATCCAGCAAGGTATTTAAGCATGTGCCTGACTTTTAAGTACACAAATAATCATTTTGGATTCTGTGGGATTGCTCATGTACTTAGTTAGACATATTTCTAATTATCTTGCTGAATTAGGGACCAATCCTTCAGGATGACCACACACTTAAATTAGACTGCATTTTTGGTTTAAGTTTTTATCACTTAGTGCTTTTTTTGTGTATAGTGTAGTAAATTATCAGGGCACGTAAAAACATGTTTAAACTGGTGAATTAAAGAATGGAAAGTCCTCAAAGGTAGTGGGCAAAATTTTCTGAAGGGCCTCGTGATGTAGGAGCCTAAGTTCCATTGAAAGTCCATGGCACTTAGACCCCTTAATCAATTACTGGGTGCTGAAAAGTTTACCCAGTAAACAACTGTGAAGAGGAAGATCTTTCTGGTCTTTTGTTTGCAGCCTCAGCATTCAGACCCAAATAAATTAATTGATTTTCTTTGGCAATATTGTAGAAAATCTTTTGGGGTATTTATTTTCTTACTATAGTGACTAGAAGTCCCAATTCTACACCAGGACCCCATTGTGTCTGGTGCTCACAAACCCAGAACAAAAAAGATGATCCTTACCCCCATCACATCTTGCAATCTAAGTACAAGACAAGAGGCAACAGGTGGATTCAGACAAATGGGGGAGGACAAAGAAATGCGACAGTATTGATCAGCATGATAGACGGGGGTAGCCTGTAGATAGTTTTGCAGATGGCTTTTTATTTTCTCCATGAACACCGTTTTAAAGTAATGTTAAAATATAGAGGAACGCCAGCAAAATAAATGGTTTGGCTGAAAAGGCATAGATTTTACTGGTAAAAATGCAATATTAATTTAGCCTCTTTCTCTTGTCAGTAATGTCTGTCGATTGCAACAAACTTTAATGTACTTTGGCATAGGCTCGAATGCTGATAACAGAAGAAAATCTTATGACCACGATCATCAAAACTTTTATGGACCACTTAAGGCACCGTGACATCCAGGGCAGGTTTCAGTTTGAACGATATACTGCCCTTCAAGCTTTCAAATTCAGGCGGGTTCAGAGCCTTATTTTGGATCTCAAGTAAGTATCTCAATACTAATCAAATTAATGAGTACTTCAAAAATGATTAAAACTAACTCACAGATTTGTTTCTACTGTATTCAGGTATGTGTTGATAAGCAAGCCAGCTGATTGGACAAATGACTTGAGGCAAAAGTTTTTAGAAGGGTTTGATGCCTTCTTAGAGTTACTAAAGTGTATGCAGGTATGTGAATCTGTGAATTAAAAAAAAAAAAGCACCGTTAATTTTCTGTCTTAGTAAAATGAGTATTGTCAGATGTAGAACACTTTGTTTTTCATTAGTAAAATTGTTACTTCATAGTACTTGTAATCCTCAGGAAATTAATATAATTTCCTTTATCTGTTGACTTCAGTGCAGTTTGGTTGAATTACACTGCTGTTAGAATCACAACAAACGTTCCTAAACTTTGTGTCTGTAAAGTATGCATTAACTTTGTTTTGTGTATGTGGGGGGAGGGAGAAAAGAAGGGGGAGAATCAAAATAAGGGTGCCAGTTTATGTATTTGATGCTATAACACAATGAGGCAGTGCACATTTAAATGTTTGAGCAAAGTCAGACTGCTCAGTCTTAACTAGCTTTTACTATATGTGAGTGTGTCAGATATTTGTTGTTTGAGCATTACCAAGCTCTGTACAAACATATTGGGAAACCAAGTCCTTGTCCCAAGGAACTTTGAGTATACACACATGATGGTATCCTCTATGTAATGTTTTTTGTCCCTTTAATACATTACATGTTATACTAACTATTTAAAGTATTTTGAGACTAATGATGTTTTTATAAGGACAAACTACTAGTAGGGCAAAAAGGCCTGACCAAACAACACTTACTCTTCAGTGCTCAGTAATTGGATAGTATGCTTCTCCCAAAAAACTTTAACTTTTGTTCATCCTTTTAATAAATTCATTTTTGCTGAGGGCATTCCATCATAATCAGACCACACTTGAATGTCCTTTTGGATTTTAAATTATTCTGATCCACAAACTTAATAAAAAAAATAAATCCTTAAAAACATCTTTAACAAACTGAATTTGGTATTTAGAGGTTTTTCCTTTTTAAGGTTTTTGCCTCTTGATTAAAGACCTATATAGAGAGAATTCATGCCTGAGTCTTCAATTCAAGATGCTTCCTAAATCAAAAATAGATTAAATTTGGCTCTTTGATTTCTCTCCAGATTTTTTTTATACTTTTGTGATATGAGCAGAATGTTTAAACGGTGTAAGTAATTACTCAGTCTGATGTTAGCACCAGTAGGGGTTTTTAATAACAGTTAATCTGTATGAGTCTTTGTGGTTTTTAGGGTATGGATCCAATAACTCGTCAAGTAGGACAACATATCGAAATGGAACCTGAATGGGAAGCAGCATTTACATTACAGATGAAATTAACGCATGTTATTTCAATGATGCAGGACTGGTGTGCTTTAGATGTAAGCTGTTTCTGCTTTTATATATGAAGGGAGATGTAGGTAGATGAATATCTAATTAATAGCAATAGAACAAACATACATATCTGCACAGACTTATTTTGTCCAGAAGCAGTATTTTTAATCTATGATGGATTAAATCTACATAGGGTTTGAATTAGCAAAAAACCTGTGTGTTTCTTGGAATGGAACAGATCACTGTGAACATTTTGGAGTTCAGCTAAGTATCCAAAAGTTTGTATTGACACAATACCTTAAGAGTATCAATCCTGGAGAAGAAAGAGGGGAATAATTTTGTAATAGAGGAATTATCAGGTCCCATGCCCTCTTGATGCCATCCAGAGAGGAAAACAGATTGCTGAACTCTAACAGAATGATCTGCAATCCCTCTGATGACAATTCCCTCCTTAAATGGACTTGCTGAGTAGGATTTGATATGTGGTGAGGGCTCCTTTTAGAACATATGAGCCCAGAATAGTCAAATATTAAATTTGACTTTAAACTGTAAATATTCTTGAGAACCCACCATAATCATGCACGTTGTTAGCAGGCTCATATAATGACAGATACCTGGTAAACTCTGATACATACTACTATTTAATCAGACTTAGCTTGGTGATTTGTGTCCTCTTTAATGAGTGAACAGCACTTGGGAAAGAGAGGAACCACTGACCTTCTGTGCTAATAAGGAAATCTTTAATGTTAAAATAGTAAGATTATATTAAGAAAAGTAAAAAAAACTTTGCATTGAGAAAAAATAAACACCGAGCAAGTATTTATGCACTTCGTTTGTTATAGACTGTACATCATTTGAAAGGGCTCTGTTTTCTTCATGATGTTTGTAAACCACAATCTTTTTTTGTAGGAAAAAGTACTTATTGAAGCTTATAAGAAATGCTTGACTGTGCTGATGCAGTGCCACAGTGGCTTTACTGATGGTGAACAGCCTATCGTTCTCAGTATATGTGGACATTCTGTTGAGACCATCAGATACTGTGTTTCTCAGGAAAAAGTTAGCATTCATCTCCCAGTTTCTCGTTTACTTGCAGGTAGGAACGAACCTGGTTTTAAAAATGGTTTCAGAAAATTAAATAACACATGTATGCACATATGTGTCTCACATGCTCACAGATATAAGAGATTATATGCCATCTGAGGATAGCCAGAATACAATGTACTCTTGCCATCTCCCCCAGCCTTCCCCAAGATATCTCCATGCTAGGGGCTATGGGAAGAGAGGTGTAGGATATGGCTATGCTGGCTCTGTGCCTGATTGGAGACCCCTTTATGCCTTGGGAATTCCCAACAGGGGGTTTCTGCTCCTTTTCTGTCATCTCAATGGAACAAAGGGGAGTAGAACAGGGCAGAGGATCTGCCCCAAAGTATGGATTATGGTTCCATGCCATTTTTGAAATATGTTCAGCCCTCAGGCTGAAAAGATTGGACACCACTGTATTAGAGAAATGTCTGCAAAATATATCTATGCATTACAACTAGTATTGTTCATCAGGAATTTAGCTAGTGATTGCATTTTTTCCCTTACATTTTGGTTCAGTAATTGAGCAATTGTATTGGAAGTATATGAAGGCTCTCTCTACATTAGGAGCGTTTTACTGGTATAGGAATACTGGTATACTTAGTCTACTGGCAAGGTGCTCCTAGCATGAGCACAGCAATACCAGCAAAGCTGCACTTTGTACTGGTATAGTAAAACTGCCCCACTTGAACAAAACAGGCTATACTGGTAAGAGCACAGTTTTGCCAATAGAACTGTCTAAATTAAGGGCTTGGACAGAGCTGTGCCATCAGGTCAGGAATTGACACATCTCACTGACATAGCTATACTGGCAGAAGTCTATAATGTTGACCTGGCCTTTGACTGAACTTTAGCTCAAATGGAATCAGTAAGTCATTTAGTAGCAATAGTGACTGGCATGTTAAATATTGGAGATTAAATGGACATTTGATATTGCAAGTTCAGCAGGTCAGGGTCAAATTACTTTGAATCTTCACAAGCAGCAGAAGTGTTGCAGTTAAGAAAAACTTGTCATGTTTAAAAGCTTTTAAAATTAAAGGCTGAAGACTGAAAGAAGGGAAAGTGAGTTTGTCATTGGTAACTTGCTCTTAAAGGTAAAGGATGGTAACTGGGGGAATATTCCTCTTTTATGAGGAGAGCCGGTATTAATGAAACATGTACCCTTTGTTGCTACATAGTATTTCCAGGACAACAGAAAGAACTTTACTTCTTGTACAGTGTGTGTGCGTGTGTGTATGTGTGCTGTGTTGTGTGTGTATATACACTGCAAAGCTGATCATCTGCAAAATGGAGAGGGCATGCCTTAGGAAAGGTCAGATACCATGGTGATGAGTGCAGTATAAAAATCTGAAAAGAATAAAATCGTTTAAATGAGGTCATCTTTTGTACCTATTGAAATACTATATTAACTGAATTTCATCCCTTATATTAGCTGCCAGTTATGGTCTGTTTTTGATTGTACCTTCTGCATGGGTTGGGGACTTTGGCTGGATGTACTGATGTGTCTTAAAACAGTGTGGAAAGCTTAAACTATGCAGATTGTTGCAAGAGATGTATCTTTTTAGGCTAATATGCAGAATGTATTAAAATGTATACTTTTATTTTGTATATCCATATAGGTTTGCATGTGTTGCTAAGCAAAAGTGAAGTGGCATACAAGTTTCCAGAGCTTTTACCACTGGTATTGTGAAATTTAATTAGTGTTTATAATACACTTTGAAGATGAAAAATGCCATATAAGTGTTTAGAATTTAAGGGTAACAAAAATAACTTTATACTTTATTTAGGAAGACAATCTGTTTCAAATATTGGTAGCTCTTTAAGAGTCAATCCACAATCAGTGTTTTATTAAAACTGTTTAAGGATTTTAAAATTAAAATCTCATTTTGTTTCTCATACCCTATCTCCACTTCGTGTTTGAAGCTGAGTTTTGGGACTGCTGCCAGAAGTTAACTCCTTCTATCGGCAGTGGCAGCTTTAGCATGTCCTGATCCAATACTCTCCACGTGTCTCTTTTGGGGCACCTCATGCAATCATTTTGAATATAAATATGGACATTGCTTAAATTTAAAGTGTGGAGGAGAGGGAGGTGGGACGTTATAAGAAAAGGGCTAAATGGAAAGGACATATAGAAAAGAAAGGAGGAGGGGGTTGAATTGGCAGATGAGATGACACTGACTTTAAAAGAAGAAATAGTTAACTTTTGAATGAATAAGGGATACACAGAGTAAGAGACCAAACAAAAGGAAGAGGAAGAAAATGATAGAGCGTTAAGAGGGAAAAATGGTGATCTATGATTAACTTTCCAGAAGTATTAAATAGTATGATAGTATTCATGCATTTTTTTCACATTCAGAAGAAGCTTAAAATATAAAAACAGCTAAGGGTTTTAAGAGTCGGCTATTGACCTTGGCCAGTACAATACCAAGCCAAGGTAAAATTTGGGATAAGTTAGCAGGAAAGGGTGATTAAAATGAATTGAGTTAATTTATTTAATGAATCACTTGCAATACATTTGTGTTGTGTTCTCTTTTTCTGTTCCTAAAAGTCTTTAATGGTTTTATGTCATCTTAGATTACATTTTTGGTAATTAAACTAAGGTTTTGCTATTTTATATTTTCTATAGAGTGAACTTAGCCCACCTTTGTTAATAGAACACCCTCTACGATGTCTAGTTTTATGTGCCCAAGTGCATGCAGGGATGTGGAGAAGAAATGGGTTCTCTCTTGTTAATCAAGTAAGTGGTTTAATAGCTGTGATGTATATGTTTATGCTAGTTTGTGGTAATGATCCTTGTGCCATTGTTGGAAACTGCTAGAATGCACACTCTTTCTATTAAAAACAAAAGGAAAAAAACCTCTAATCGAACTTTAAAAAGTCACTGAGGGGTATGCCTAAAATGCAAAAAAAAAAAAAAAATACTGTAGCAGTGAGTCTCAGAGCCTCGGTCAGTTGACTCATGTTTGTGCTAAAGGGATAAAAATATCTGTGTAGACATTTGGGCTCGGTTTGGAGCCTGGCCCCCTTGCTGGGTTTAAGAGCTCAGATTCCAGCCAGAGCCCAAACAACCACACAGCTATATTTATCCCTGTAGAATGATCCCCACAAGCCAGAGCCGGTTGACCTGGGCACTGAGACTCTCTGCCACAGATCTTGTTTTTGCAGTATAAATGAGAGTTTAGGAGCCTAAATCCAGCTGAAAGCTAAATCATGTAGTAGGTATGTCTTGAAAATTTTAATCAGTCTTTAATTACTTGCTCACATACGGTTTGTTTCCACGGGCCCCTGCCTCATTGAGTGAACAGGCCAGATAGTGCTGAATAAATGAGGCAGCTGCTAAAGATTTTTATTCTCTTCATTCAATTAATGGCCCCAGACTTATTTATTGCACACTATTCAAAGCCTGCAAGAAATACAGAATTAAGTATTTCCTTATGCTCTTGCTGTAGTATTGGAGTGTCTCACAAATATTAATTTATTTGCATGCCTTCACTGTGAGATCAGAGAGCACTGCTATCCCCATTTTACAGATAAGGAAATGGAGACAAAGAGGCTAGCCTGAGGCTGCATAATTTCTAACCTTGTGCTCATTCCTCCAGATCACATTTTTGGAGGTGCTGAGCATGCTCCGCTCCCATTGACTTCAGTTGCAGGTGTGAGTTCTCTGTGTTGCCACAAATTAGGCCCCATGTGTCTCAAGTTGAGCATTCAGTAAACAAGGAATACACAGCTAGTAGCTACCTGCCAAAATGATTTGCTCAGCATAACATAGGCTATGGCAGAAACGGGAAAAGAGCTCAGTTCTTGTTTGTGGTGGTCACTTCACTTAACCACAAAACCAGCCTTTCTCCCCCTTTAGTACTCTGCCACATTCACTACACACTTTCCAACTTCTGCAACAAATGAGGCAGGAATCCTACAGGCAGCCTCATTTGCTACTCAGTCCTAATTCATCCTTTGAACATCATCCATCCTGTGCACTGAATAAGATGGGTCCTATGGAAAAAATTGTATGTGATCATATAATTAAATATGATGGTGTAGTTCAACCTCCTTGGGTACATGCATTAAGGTTCTATGGTATAGGGTTGAAAGGTGTAGTTTTAAATTGTTGGAAGCCAAGTAATTTAATTTAAAAAATGACTGACAAAAAATATTTATTTTAGCAAAACCATGGTAGGCCAGCTCATAGTAATTGTTTCTCTTACTCTTGGGGTGTGGCTCTCACGGCCTAGTCATATAGGGATTCTTTTAGGTACCTTAGGGGACACCCTGATTAAGAGCAAGCAGAATACTCACAATTATTAACCATGGCTATTTTATTATTAAAGAAGGGGCGGGAACACTGAACACAATGACCAAACATCAATGATAAACTGGTTACTTTTTTTTTTACAATCTTTGTACATCTCTGTGTGGGGAGCTTTTAAAAGAGATTACACCTCTAGAGGTGCTTTTCTCCTGAAACAAAATTATTTTACCTATCTTTCATTTAGATACCAAATATACATTTCAAAATAAGTTTATGCCATTTTAAGCATTTGAACACTTAAAATACTTCCAACCATACATGTTTTTCTTAGAGGCTTATCCAAATGAAGTTTTTAGAGTAATTATAAAATTCATTTCAACTAGAATATTTCTAGAATTCTGTGTGTGGCTTTAACTGAGGTTTTCTTTGCAAAGAGCAGGCTAATAGACCTGCTTGTATGCCTTTGTTTATTGCTTAGATAACACATCCTACTAATTAACAGTCCCTACTACTGATAATACACCTTAACACACCCTTTACTTAAAACATAAATGTTCTGCATTGTCTGCCTTCTTGAGGTATGCTTGTCCTTGGGAGACAGAAGCAGAAACTTTCTGAAATTCCTTTGATATACAAGGTAGATGAGAGAGTACCTTTTATTGGACCAACTTCTGTTGGTAAAAGAGATGTTGCAGAACTTTAACATTTTGTAACATAAGTAGATAGATATACATATTATATTTCCAAGCATCCTGGCTATAACAGTATTGTAGCTATCTCTCATTCAGAGAAGGTGCAAACAAGTTTGTAGTGACTTAAAAATAGCAAGTTATAATTTTATTAATATCGTTTTTGCATCAATATTGAGGTCTCTTCTCCACAATGGGCAGCCTAAATTCTGGCTGTTCCAAACTTTCATGTGCTTGACTTTGCAATGTTCTTTTAGCATATGGTTTTTGGTGTGTGTGTGTGTGTTATTTTTTTTCTTTAAACGAAAAAGGTAAAAGCAAGTTCTGTTCTGTGCAACTATAACAATTGGCCCACTGTGCATCATCACTAGGCTTTGAACCCTGAATTTTCAGCATTGCAGCATAGCTTGTGTTAGTTAGCTGGAGGAGAAGGCTGTTTTCCTGGAGATGTGGGGTTGAATGGACATCTGGGTCGGAAGGGGGTTCAGGGAGAGCCTCATCCAGATCTCCTTCCCCCCTCCCCCCTCCTCACCTGGAGTTGGGGGAGGTCCTTCCACATGTGGTGTCCCTAGAGAGAGGGGAGCCACTGGAGCCATGTTGTGAGTTCTGGGGTTGTGGGGAGAGGGAGACCTGCTAAGTCTGTGTCTCTGCCCCAGCCCCCAAAAGTTCCTGGAGAGGCTGTCTGTTCCTTGGGTTTCCTGTACAGTGTGTTTGGTGCTGCTGCTTTGGGCGCATTGTGAGGCAGTCTTAATTTAAAATATTCATGTCAAGTTGTATGGGCATGCTATTAAAATGTTGTTGACAATGCAGTCAGTAGGAGGGAAATGGAAGTTCTCAAAAGTCTGTCAGCCAACCTGAACTGAAGGTCATGGGAGAAAGAAAAGACCCTTTTTGGCCACAGGACTTTCTCACTGGTGAAAGTCAAACAATGTCAAACAAATGGGGGTGTTAAAATTTTTCAGAAGAGATCAAGAGTCTTTCCTAATGGAAAATATTAGGCAACCTAGATCTATGGGTTGTTCCAGTTCCATCTTTAAGTATATCACCTCACAGTGGATCAAAGGTACATAGGTATCCAATGTGCATTTGATTTTTTTTTTTCAGGCTTTCCTCTAATCCACTGGTTAATTCATCCCTTTTTTCTGTAATCCTCTATCATGCGACAGAAAGTTATTTTCTTCATTGAGTAAAGAAAGCATTTTCAGAGCAGGAGGAGAATTTATTAATAAAATACTTTATTTTTCAGATCTATTACTATCATAATGTGAAATGCAGAAGGGAGATGTTTGACAAAGACATAATAATGCTTCAGGTAATTACTTCTTTGTGTTCGTTATGTATATTAAATTGATAGAGAAACCTTCATATTGTATGTCTTGAATTTCTAACTTCTTCACATTTTTATAAGGGTTTCAATTCTACCCTCTTGTGTTAAAATATCTTTTTCAAAAGAGGAACATATCATTTGGAGGGAACTGTGAAACTGCCTATTCTGTAGAGCTGTCAGATGAACTAAGTAAACAAACTGAAAAACTGGAGAGAAAACATTTCAATCTGGCTTCTTTCAATTATCAGTGTTACCAACTCTTGCAATTTTCATGGATATCATAATATCTGGTGTTTTTTCTTAAACCCTGATCCTGGTCATTTAAATCTGTTTCATTTAAAAAAAAAAAAAAGAGAGGAAAAAAAACTAACCCTCATGATTAAAGAGAGACGCTTGAATAATAAAAGCTCCGAAACCAGAAGACAACTTAAAGACCACAAATTTATTTCTAAAATCTAATTTTTAAGACCATTCCATGATTTTTTTTGGCTCTGACTCATGATTTTTGAACGTTTGGAATTGGCAACTCTGTTATCATAATCATTGTTACTTGTAAGTATAGAAAGTACAAAATTTTCAGACATGGTTTGCAAGATGGTATCTCCTTAATGTAGTATTTTAATCATAGAGATGCATATATATACTTAAATCAGTTCTATAAGTAAAATTTTATTTGGAAGTCTTGGATTTTGGTTTTGTCCTCTGTCACCACTGTAAACACAACAGGCCTGACCCTACAAGGTATTGAGCTGCTTATCAGTTCAGAAGATAAAGCCCCAATTTTTTCATCTAGATTAATATTAAGATGAATATTCAAGAGCAGCTCTATTTTTGATCCCCACTTCAGGTCAGAGGGAAGTATTAGGGCCTGTATTTGCCCAATGTTGTTCTAATTTCAAATATTCTCTTTGCAAGAATTTAAGAGGGTTTAGGGTCCCCAAAAATCCCTGATCCCAAGCTCTGCCCTTAAAACTGCCTTTTGGCAGCAGTAGAGCCGGGTTCCCTGTAGTTAGTGGAAGGTGTGTGGCAGTGGCTGTCACCCCGAAACCCTGAATTGGTAGAGCCAAGCACGATAAGTATCAATGGACGCCTCCCATCCCATCCCAAGGTATTTAGATGGATGATAGGCAAGGTGGGGAACAAACATCCATAACGGAGGTAAGGGCAAATAGATCAGAGATGTCCCTCTACTCTTTAATGCCCCAGCCTCTCTGCGAATTGGGAAACAAGCATCCTCTTCCTCCTCCTCCCCCACAAGTCCCCTGAATGGGGAGAAGGACTGAGATGGGGGTTTGTGTTGGGGATAACACAGCCTGTTGTTCCTCTGTCCTTTGTGTTGCATTAAAGGGAGCTGTGAGAGCAAGGAGAAGCCAGTGTGGTTAATTCACACTGGGTCTTCTTGTACCAGGGCTGTTGGAGCTCAGGTGGCTGGTTTGGTCATGGCTCTCCCTCCTCTTCTTTCTCCCTATGTATTGATGCAGATATGGAAACCATAGCCATAGTATGTTAAATGCACAGGCCGAACCTGTATTTAAAACTACTACCCAATTGGGTAACTACTCCAAACTACCCAGCGGGGTGGTTGCAGTGCAGACCTCAATTAGTACCAGCGATCCCAGGTACTACAGACTTGAGGGCAGGCTTGGTATGCTGTCAGGCCTGCTCAGAGACTCTGACTGGAAGCTGGAGTCCTGCCTTTCTGTCATTCTCTCTGCCACGGATAGGAGAGATTAGTGGAGCCACATGCTGTATGGCAAACTGGGGCATACTACCTCACCAGGCCATACTGTGCCCATGACCGATGCCCAGGCAACCCACAGAATTACAGGGACCTCAGATTAAACACTTTCTAAACCATCTCCATGGAGCCTGTCCAAGTTGTGAATATTGTAATTCTAAACCCTAAAATAGGCTTCCAAGATGCTGAATGGAAGGTGATAACCCACGCAGCAGTTTGCCACTTTTGCCATATGGTAAAAATTCCTTCCGTATCCCAAAACTGGTGATCAACCCCCAGCATTGAAGGAGATCTGTCATACTAGTTTAATGGTGGGAAAGATGGGGTTGACAGTCAGCCTGAAATGGCTGCTCACCTGTGTAGCAAACTGTAGTGACTTCTCTTCTGCTCCAGCTCCTCTAGGCTGGAGTGAATCACCAGTTCCCATTAAACCCCCACCACTCAATGCAGCAATGGCATGAGGGACAGGCTCTGATGCCTGGATGCAGCATTCAGTACCCTTCACCCCTCCTTGCAGCACAAGGAAGAGGGGGAAGGTGAAAGAGAAGCATGAACCCCATAAGGGTGCTGAAGACAAATGAGGGGGGAAGCAGAGGGAGCACTGCCCCAACAACTTCTTCTGGTAGAGATTTCATTTCTTTCTGACTCTTGCTGTTCCCATCCCTATTAAAGCCACACCCTCGCACAGATCCAGAGGGCAAGTGTGCCTCCAATCTTTATAATCTTTGTGGGAGCGTTCCCCTTCTGTGCTAAGCTACTCCCTCTGGCTCCAGCACAGTTGTTTCTTAATGTGGCTCCTTCAGCAAGCCCAAAAGGACAGAAGCTGGGAATGAGCGGATGGATCACTTGATGATTACCTATTCTGTTCATTCCCTCTGGGGCACCTGGCACTGGCCACTGTTGGAAGACAGGCACTGGGCTAGATGGACCTTTGGTCTGACCAGTAGAGCCATTCTTATGTTCTTATGGAGTCTTTATTCTTTTGGGAGCTATGTGACTTGCAGATGTTTGCAGTGACACAAGACCGTCTTTTTAAAACAAGACCGCTTTTATTAGTCAACTGGAATACAGTTTTTTAGGGTCCTTAGGTTGGGATGGAAAACAGTTTATCTGTGTTTATGTTGACAGCACTACCTGCCTCTTTGGCCCCCAATATCCAGGATTTCATCTCTTCTCCTATACTGAGCAGCAAAGTTCTCATCACAGTGTGCTCTGACATCCAGTCACTCTGTTTTGCCTTCCCGTCACTAGAAGTTAATGCCCTTTTGTTGATCTTTGATTATATTTTCAATTTAAATCCATTTACATATTGACAGTTCTTGATCACATAGGCGTGTCTGAATTGGAATGAATGAATGATTAACACCCATCTCTTATTTCCTTGACCCAGAGAAAGATTTAACCCCATCAGTCCTAGTAGGTCACAATACAAAAGTGAGTGGGGAAATGGAGTCGTGCATATTTTTTATAAAAATGCAGAAATGTCACACATTCTCTGCTTCTCAACCCCTCCCTTCAAGAAGAAACTGAGGGGGATCACTTGTCCGGTAGTCTAGAGATGTTTGTGCTGTTGTGCACCTCCTTTCAGGACAAAGCATCTGCTGTTACATTTGTGCTCCTCTTAAAATGAGTTACTTCCATGTAATAATCTTGGAGGTGTAGGCTCCATCTTAACAACTTCGTGTTAAAAACCTCTCATTTGATATAGCTCAGCCAGTGGTGATGGTTTCTGATTAGTGATTAGCATGATAGCATATATGTAAGTATTTTTAAAAGGGGCTTTTCAAGGACCTAAATCTTTCTATCTTTACACTAAAAGTCAAGAGAAGATTTGTTAGTTTGTCATAGGTAAAGCCAGATAGCTAGCATGAATTACGAACAGCTCAAGAAAGATGGGTTTCTGAACCTGTTAAAGTTTGTTTGCTGATGATTAGTAAAAATTGGAGCTGATGGCTATGCTGCACTCATATGTCCTGAGGCATGATGAAGCAGCTGTTCCAAACAGGGGACCAGGAAAGGTCCCCGTTTCTCCTGAAGATAAGCAAGCAATGTGAGCAGTGTAATATTAGGGAGTTTTGAGTTATCCCCAGTCCTTTTCAATGAACATCAGCAGGAGGATATGGCATATTCCTGGGTTGAGGACAGGAGTTCTCAGGGGTCCTAACACAACTACTCACCCACAGATTATTTTATTTTTTTAAATAGGTCCAGGTTATTCAAATAATGTTAGGCCATTATGGATCCTGGTCCTCATTTTTTCTTAAACTGTAGATTGGCGGGAAAAGTAGTGTGACCACATTTTAAACCAGTATTCTTTTTTTATAATATTTTCTTATCAGGAAAGCTTGGAAAGTGTTCATTTACCAAGTTTTTTTGCGGAGGAACTATTTTTAAACAAGTACAGACTTCATTTATATATGCATATTAAATGATCCACAATACTTCTTAGTTTCACAAATTAGGATAGCAGAAACAAAAAGATAGTGGGTGGGGGCCAAGCTGTTCGGGGAGTCAGGGGACCAGGGCCGGGGGGTTGGATAAAGGGAGGGGGGCTCAGGAGGGCAGCCTAAGAACTGAAAATAAACTTGTATGAATTTGATTTATAACACATTTGTGTAAGATCTTAGGTTGTAACTTTTTCTTGGGGTAGGGACCGTATCTGTTTTTAAAGCACCTAGTCCAGGGGTGGGCAAACTTTTTTTGGCCCAAGGGCCACATTGGAGTTGCAAAACTGTATGGAGGGCCGGGTAGGGAAGGCTGTGCCCCCCCAAACAGCCTGGCCCCCACCCCCCATCTGCCCCCTCCCACTTCCCACCCGCTGACTGCTCCCCTCAGAACCGCCGACCCATCCAACCTCCCCCAGCTCCTTGTCCCCTGATCGCCCCCTCCCGGGACCCTCTGCCCCTAACCCCCCCCCCCCCAGGACCCAACCCCCCTATGAAACCCCCTCTGCTCCCTGTCCCCTGACTGCCCCGCCCCTATCCACACCCCCCGCCCCCTGACAGGCCCCCCGGGGCTCCCTCGCTTATCCAACCCCCCCCATCCCCCTGACTGCCCTCCCCCCGAACCTCCACTCCATCCAACCGCCCCCTGTCCCCTGACTGCCCCCCGGAACCCTCCGCCCTTTATCCAACCCCCTGGCCCCATTACTATGCCGCTCAGAGCATGTCTGGCAGCCACGCCGTCCAGCCAGAGCTAGACACCCTGCCGCTCTGTTCGGCAGGAATGCTCCGCTCTGCGCCCAGAGCGCTGCCCGCGCAGCAGCGTGGCTGCAGGGAGGGGGGACAGAAGGGGAGGAGCCGGGGGCTAGCTTCCTGGGCCGGGAGCTCAAGGGCCCGGCAGGACAGTCCCGCGGGCCGGATGTGGCCCGTGGGCCGTAGTTTGCCCACCCCTGACATAGTCCTATGGGGTCCGGTCCACGATTAGGGCCTCTCTAAATTGTTAATTCCAATAATCTTGCATTTCAACTGTTTGATAAAATCAAAAAGGAAAACAACCCTGGTCTTGCAAGAGACTCTGTTCAGGCAAACCTGTGCACCTCTGCGGCATCACTTGCAGGATTGGTGCCTATTTAAGTAATTTAATTTGTATGGGGAAAAATAAATTCCATAAGGAATACACTGTGAACAAATATTGTACTTGGTGCATAATATCCATCCACCCCATAATTCCACCTATTCAATTTTTACATGTGTAATAAACTTTTTCTATTTTTTCCTTGAACCTTTTTTCAAATAGACAGGTGTGTCCATGATGGATCCAAACCATTTCCTGATGATAATGCTGAGTCGCTTTGAACTTTATCAGATATTTAGCACTCCAGACTACGGCAAAAGATTTAATACTGAAAATACCAATAAGGTACTCTTATATTTTTGTCATAATTTTTTTTAATGGAAAAACTGAAATTTTCGTTTTGTTTTTGGAAAACTCTTAAAGGTAAACAGATGACTACAAAATAAACTACAATTTAGTACTTCAAGGTTTTTTGTACACTGGTACTTTTGTCGTTAAGATGTTTGTCGCTCAGGGGTGTGAAAAAACACCCCCTTGAATGAGACAAGTTTTAACGATGAAAAGCACTGATGTGGATGGCGCTTCATCGGGGGGAACCCTGCCCTTGGCGACGAAGCTACTGCCCCTCATTGGAGGTGGTTTTATTTTATTGCCAAAAGAGCTCTCTCCTGGCAATAAAGAGTGGCTACACAGCGCACCTTATAATGGCACGGCTGCAGCAGCACAGCTGTGCCGTTGTAAGGTGGGAAGTATAGAAATAGCCTTAGAATGACAAAGTAACTGCATTGAAAGGAGTGTGGAAATTTTGATTCCTGGGACATGTAGCAGAGAAATTATCACATGTGGTACTAAAGCAGAACAGCTCCCCTTATAAGGAGCTCTTGGGTGATTTTAAAATGTCATACTACTGTTGTTGTCTCACGCTCTGACTCATCAGGTTCTGAATGTTCTGCAAAGACGTTACACTGGACCCTTGGTGAGGAGACAGTTTCTCATGTCATTCAACAGCAGTCTGGTTAGAGAAAAGTGATGATGTTGGATTCCAGAGGGAGAATCTGGCAGAAACCATGGTTATTACTCAGAATAATACCATATCTGACATGGGTTAACACAAATGAACTCGGGAAATAAGAGGCTGTTTTGAAAGAGCTAAACTTTGTAAATTAAGTTATGATGCATTTAATTAGAAAATCCATTAAATAAGCACGTACAAAGTTGATACTCTTGCCTCATAAACTTGCATCTGGGTATTGAAATGCACCAAAAAAAATCACACTCAAAACTTGCCATGGGTGCAGTTTTGTGTAAATAAACTGGAATTTTAAAGTAACACCACAAATTAATAATGGATCGTACGTTTAGCATTTAAGAGGAGTGTAAAGAATTATTACTGCATCTCAATAAATGGCTAGCATTGGTAGGTTTAAGGGTGAGCATGGGCAGCAGACCTTAGGTTGCAATTTGAAATCTTAGAAAATCTATTTCCAAAAAAATATTTTAAAATGTTTTACTTGTTAACTGAAAATTTTTTATTCGTGCTTTCTCCATTTATTTTCATTCAGGATGTAGTTCAGCAGAATAATACTCTTGTAGAAGAAATGTTATATCTAATTATAATGATTGTTGGTAAGTTAAGATCTATTTTATCAATTCAATTCATTTCAAGTTGGATCATGTTGGTGTCATTTTACATCGCCATGTGGACCACTTGAGTTTTTTTTCTGTTCTCTCATTTCTTGCATCTCATGATTCTTTCCTAGGAGGAAGGAAAGGCCCTTCTTGGTTCAGCAGTGGCCCCTCTAGCCTAAGAGTCACATTTACCAGTCCCCCAAGAGTGTTCACTCCAGTCATTCTTCTCTAGACGAATACTCATAAAGATACAGAGCCTCAAGGCTAGGTTGGCTTAATTTGTGGTTTGGGAAGAGCGGTGGGTGAGCCAGAGTTAGGGAAAGCCCCTTTCCCTGAGGCTATGGGGGGAAAGAGAATAAGAATACTCATTTAAAACTAGTCTTTCAGTGATTAATTATGCATTTATGTTCATTATTGTGTTCATAATATGTTAATTGATTGTTTTTATTTTTACAGGAGAGAGATTTAGTCCTGGAGTAGGGCAGGTAAATGCTACAGATGAAATCAAGCGAGAAATTATCCATCAGTTGAGCATCAGACCCATGGCCCACAGTGAATTAGTAAAAGCATTACCAGAAGATGTAAGTAATTTGAAAAAAATATGTGCAGAGTAACCTGTATCCAAACCTTATGTGTCTGAATCTTCTGAAACAGGCTTGTGGTTTCAAAGCTTGTCTCTATCACCAGCAGAAGTTGGTCCAACAAAAGATATTACTTCACCCACTTTGTCTCTTGGAATGTATAGTCAGTATGTGATTCCAACTGCTGGTTTAAAACCTACTGAACAGCTCTCGCAACAATATAAACTTTCAATTACAGTAACTCCTCACTTAACGTTGTAGTTATGTTCCTGAAAAATGCGACTTTAAGCGAAACGATGTTAAGCGAATCCAGTTTCCCAAAAGAATTAATGTAAATGTGGGGGTTAGGTTCCAGGGAATTTTTTTTCACCAGACAAAAGACTATATACACACATACATAGGGTTACCATATTTCAGCAAGCAAAAAAAAGGACGGGAGGAGCCCTGCCCTAGCCCGCCCCCATCCTGCCCTAGTCCCGCCCCTGCCCCTCCCACTTCCCCCCCTCAGAACCCCCAACCCTCCCCCCGCTCCTTGTCCCCTGACTGCCCCCTCCT